CCCTTTGATTGATTGAAGGAGACATTCATTACTGCTCCAATATTACAATTGTATCATCTCAACTTTTTCTGTACACTTAATATTGATGCTTCCGATTTTGCTATTGGAGCAGTCTTTCAACAATACTTAAATTGGGACTTTCAATCTATGGCATATAAATTATGCAAGCTCAAAAGGATAAAGCACAATTACTTTGCATATAATTAAGAATAATTAGTAATTATATATATCACAAAAGTGTTGCAATACTATTTGTAAGAAAAATAAGTGATTATTTGAACTAACTATCGAGACTTGCTATACAATTTGTATTTAGAAAATATGAAATCATAAAATTGTCATTGAGAAGAATAGTTGTAGCTTTTCAATATTTAGCTTGAGTATAAACAAGGGCAACAACACATTATATGAGATAGCTTATCACAGAGATCAGACTTGAAGGTTGAATCGAGAAATAAGACAGAAATTGCTGACAATAGTAGTGTCATTTCAAACCAAACTAGAGAGGTAGAATGAAAAGAAGCTATATATTGGAATGTTTATTTCAAGATAATTAGCAATCGATTGAAGGTGGGCAATGTATAATATTAAGATTATAGTCTTAGTAATGGTTTGTTCTATTTCAAGAAGCAAATTTATGTACTTAAAAATACTATACTTCAAATGCATACACTTCAAGAGAGACATGACATTCCAATATCTGGACATCTAGGACGTGAGAAGACTCTAGAACGGATCTCAAGGATATGATTTTGGGCAGGTTTGGATTGTAATATTTGACCTTTTATAAGCTCTTGCAAGTCATGGCAATATAACAAAGCTTGCAATGTAGCATCTTCTAAACTATTACAGCCAATTCTACTACGTATGGAACGTTGGGAGTAAATAATTATGGATCTTATTACGTATTTGTTGCACATACCTCACAATCATATCTTTGTTGCTATCTTTGTAGACTGATTCTCAAAACAACTTCATTTGGCCATAATGTACTGAAATATTAATGTTTTAGCACTTGTATGAGTCTTCTTCGATATTATTTTTTGTCACTGTAGATTATCTTATCCCATCATTTTAGATTGGGATCAATACTTCATGAGAAGCTTTTAGCAAGTCTTGCTTAAGCTATTAGACACATGACTTGTTATGTATATAGTCTTCCATCTCCAAACAGATGGACAAACAAAGCATGCAAATTAAACCTTGGAGGATATATTAAAGGTATTTTTGGTTGTTCATTATAATGATTGGGATGAATATTTGATGTCCTTGGAGTTTGCTTACAATGGTAGTATTCAAGCAAGTATCCATCATTTATCATTCTTCTTTAACACCAGTCAACATCCGATTATGCCAACAACTCTTCATCAACTCATTGACACCAATAATCTAACAACAAAGGAATTTATACAATGGCTTACAATGGCCTTATAGGAGGCATGGCACTACTTCTTTACTACACAGATTTGATAGAAGCAATATACAGATAACCATCAGTAATACAAGATCTTCTAGGAGGTTAATCAAGTGTTACTCTTCAATGCCAATTTGTAACTTGTTACATCAATTCAAATCTATAAACTAGTACCTCAATAGCTTGGAACTTTTCACATTTCTATAGTGATTTCTAATGTCACAGACTGCCTCAAGCTTTTGTCACATATTCAAGCCCATCTAGTCTTCTATATTTGGAACTCAAGGAATTTCATACCAAGCCAAGGCATTTTTTGGACCAATACCAACTACGACCACCACTAGTTGTAGTTGATGATCAATAAGAATATGAAGTAGATAACATTTTGGAGCAGTGCTACTTTTGCAGTGGCAGTAGACGACTACAACTTTAGTACAAAGTCCTTTAGAATGGTTATCCTATCTATGATGCAATGTTGAAACTTGTACAAAACCTCACTCATTGCCAAAAAAAAATTTGGAAACACCATTGGAAGTGAAACAAGGACGTTTTCCATTAGTAGAGAATGATTAACTATAATTAGATATAGATAAGATATTTATATTATTGATGCATAGGAATAGATAGTTGAAGCGATGTTTGAAAATTTTATAGAATTTTTTTGAATTTGGATAGGTTATTGGGCTACGTAAGATCCACCAAAGAATATTCTAGAAAGATCTTACGGTGATTATTTAGATAGAGCCTACTATAGAACATTCTAAAAAGAGTTTAGGGTGGTTATCTAAGTAAGGTCCACCATTAGGAATATTTTAGAAAGTTCTTGGATGATTGGACAAAGTATAAATAGGACTAACGAAGGCCATGTAGGCCATTGGTCAGATATGGCTTCAAACCCTTTCTTTTAATAAAGTTTGGTTTTTCATCTTCCTATTCAATTTTATTTTATTTATATATACATATATAGTCTGATCTATCCTACATTGTGATGGAATTTATGTTGTTGTAGATTATAAGGATCATAGATTTTTAAAATAGTTTGATCTTATTTCACCATAGCTTTTAGTTAAGAGTATATATAAAAGCAAGAGTGAAGCCTTTACTCTTATTAATGTCTTTTAAGTCTTTAGTCTTATTTAAGACTTTCTAGTCTTCTTGTCTTTAGTAATAGCCATTTTAGTTTAATAATATATCATCTTCAAGTGATTTTTTAGTCTTTTTGAGTGACGTAAGAGTGTATTGAGGTTTTTTTTCTTTAAGATTCATGTCCTTGATAACTTGGGTAATTTATATAGGGGCATGTTCAAATTACATGATGGCTATAATAGTGGACAATTTTGAAAGCTACATAATAACAATAATATATGGTAACAAGTCTAATATTGGTGCAATATAAAGCTACTAAATACATTTTAAAGCTAATGGTTATGTATGACCTTCTATAATCCATATCAATTTAGTTTTTAATATTTAATTTTTTTTCTCCTTCTAAAACATATAAAAGTGTTTCTATCCATCATCAGTTTTTTTAATAAAGTTTTTTGAAAACAATATGATTTTTTGAAACAATTTCTTTGTTACTAGTTTTTCAACTACCTACTTCTTAAAAAAATATTAGTTGAAGGTGCTATAAATGTCTCCTTGCTCTAAAATTTTACATCCATATGTTCAATATGAGAACATCTTTGAAAAAAAAAATCTCCTAAAAAGTTCAAAGTCACAAGTAGGAATTGTCCCTAGTATAAGTCTCACTATGCCTTTTGGGCAATACCAATAAATACTTTTCTTTCAACTTTAAATGTTACAATCTTTGACATGCAATAACCTCATTACCTAAGATATAATAGATTAATCCTAATATAAGTTAGGAATAAGATCTTGTGGTTGAAAATATTGAAAATGCTAAAAAAATTTGGAAGTCATTTTCTTCAAAGAGGTATTTTTTGGCAGTTTTGGAGTTAAGAAGGTAAGATAATAGTAGGAACTTTAGAAATTAAGAATATATATTGTCTCTTTACAAATTTGATGTATTTTGTAGTATTTTTCTTCTTTACTTTGGCTACTTCATAAACCTATAACCTTTGAGTTTTACCTCCAAATAAACTATTTGTTGACATTAAATCAATTATAAAATATTAAATGATTTTAGAAAAATTCATATTATGCTTATAATGAATATATTTTAAATTTCTATAATAAAATTTATATTTGTAAACAACTTGAATGAATTTTAGACAAATTCTTGAGTTATACAAAGAAACACAATATAATTTGTATAAAAACAATAAACACCTTGATAAATATAAAATATGAATACACATAATAATATTTTTTAAAAATTAAAAAATAAAAAAGAATATAAAACAGATTATAATTCAATGAGGCTTAATAATATTTAAACTATATAATTATATTATATAATTGGATACAAATGTGATTGTGCATTTCAAAGTCTATTATTTGTGGTCTTATTAAGAATATATATGTGTGTATATATTTTTATACACAGAAATCAAAATTGGTAATGTTTCAAAATATTTTACAAATAAAAAATATATATATTAAAAAGATAATTTATGTATTTGAATCTATCTATATACATATACATTTATACATGAAAAACAATTATATCTACACCAAACTTGGTAAACAAACAAATAAACAAAATCTGATTGTAATTTATAAAGAGCAACAATTTTACATGAAGGTTGATGATGAATAGATTTTCCATTTTAGCAGAGCATATATGAACAATCAACAAAGGCATATGAGTGTATTGTTTAAACAAAGGACATCTAAGTTATCATAATCATCTCACAATGGATTGAGTCTAAATGACTGCATTATTGGATGAGACACACAATGAACAAGACCATAGAAAATAGATCTAGTAAGGTAGTAAATCTATTGTTGATCCACCTACTTCTCCCCTCACTCCCATTTCCAACATGTAGGATATTCTATTTCCGTTAGTATGGTGACTAGGTCTAACATCCACTAACATCCACATTGATCCAAAATAGGTTGGAGGTTGGTTAAAATGAAGTTAAGCTGTGAGCAATAAATAAAATTCATGGTACTCAAAATGGGTGCACATAAATTATGAATAGGTGGCAATTGTTGATTGGTTGGGATGGAATAATAATATAATTAGATTCCACACTTTTTGGTTTTGTAAAAATTACATTCTTAACTTTGTAATCCACCATTTATTAGAATTAGAATGGCCTATGATCAGAATTAAATTGACTTCCATGTTGGAAATGGGTTGAAGAAAATCTTCAGCTAAAACATTTATACGAATTCCATTTTGTGGCCTAATTGTGTGAAAACATTTGGAATCCTACATGGGGTATTTTTTTTTTTTTTTTTCCAGTTTTACACCTACTGAATATATGCTGAAATGCTTAAATTATCAGAAATGGGTTGTCTATTTTAGTTCTTTTACTTATCCTGTTGACTTTCCAAGACTGAAACACATCTTACTGGAAAAAAAAAACAATACTTTACACACATAAACCAGAATTCTCAACTAAAAAATGAGTGAGGCAGGCCATAAATACTCCATTCAATCTTATGATGCAAATTGCTATCCATTGCAGAATTGCTCCTTGTTGAGAATTGAACCTTCAAGCAGTACCTCTTCCAAGAGTGAGAGGTAGAGGATGGTGGTCTTCACAGTTTTTTAAAGAGCATCAAACAGCCGAAAGAATAATGCCAACCTCTGACAAGATCTGTATCATGCTAGCTCTACAATAATTTTTATGTAAGAGTTGAAAAAGAATGTGGTCACTAGCCCTGGTTGTCTACGTCTACCCATCTACTTACCTACCCTTATCACTACAAAGTATTAAAAGCGCTAACCAAGTTAAGAGAGAAAAATGAAAAAGGTATCTTAGGTGATTTCCATCACTTATATTTTCTTCACACTCAACGAGTCATGAGCTGAGCATGATATATGCGGCGCAAAAACAACAAAGAGAGAGGTAGCTCAAAATAGTTTCATGACAAAATGACCACATCTCGACACTCCATGAGACACTGGGTTCCGAACGAGGTGAACATTCCTACTCATACGAATCCGGCTACAAACCTCGCCATCTAGTATCCAGGATTCGGCAAAACCACCACCCACGTCTTAGTAGGCCTACGCAGGATTTTGGCACTTACGGGACGTAGCCGCAGAATTGCGATTCCAGCATCATTAACCAAATCTTCACTACCCACACTGGATGCTTCAAGCCTTCCTCTCGTACTACACGTCGACAAAGATGAACAGAGGCCCCGAAATTTTGGAAAGTGAGTGAAAGTGTTAAGAATGCTGTGTCTCGGTGATGCCTCGATACATCGTTCACAAATTCACCACGCGTTCATTGGCACAATTTTTAGTAGCTTTACAAGTCTTCTCTCACGCTTGATGCGTTCATGTTTGCATCAATTCAAGGGAAACTTCAGCACCTTCGAGAGTGTCAAAAGTTGTTATCTTCATCACCATCAGCATCTCCATCACCATTTTCTTGCTCATTGGAATCTTCTGTCTCTAGAAGCAAATCCTCCATACCGGTCACCTCTGTTTCATTATTTGACTGCTCATCTTCAATCACCAGAGGTAATTCCTCGTCTTCCTCTTCTTCAGCGTCTATTCTATCTTCTACAGGAATGACGGGGTCTTGTCCCAGAATTTCAGTAGCTTCTTGCGGTTTTTTCGGCTTCTTTGCCTGCTGTTCTCGCCAGTGCCGAAGCTTCTCCTTTGCTTCAGGTTTTTCACATATACATGCTGCTGGGTTCTCATGAAACTCGCCGCGACCAGCCCTCACCTGCATAGCAAATCAACAACACTATAAGGAGTCACACATACGGTAGCCATAGTGGAAATAGAACACTCTGTTCGTCATTACAATTAGCAATGTACAAAACGTTATGAAAAATGAAAATAAATGCACTATTGGAAGTGAGGAAGAAGCCACGAGCTCGACTGCATGCATTCTTCCCAGTCAATGTCCTTTAAGGTATCTAATGAAATCATCACATCTACCCAACAAGGTCCCATTCTCTAAATTCAAGGTACTCCGCTCAAAGGTAATAGTAGCAATGTCAAGCAAAGGACAGCATGTTACCTCCATTGGATCACCCATGAAACCCTTCTGAAAATGTCGCACGTTTTCGGCAAACTCTGCCCATGACATGTTGTGCCTAGCAGGCAAAAGCCTCCCTAGTTTCTTGGCATTAGGTCTAATTGTTCGCTTATGGCCATTGTAGCGTCTGCAGGTAAAAATGAAAACAGCTTGAATATTTGGGAACATCAAAAACTTTCCAAACTGGATACAACCTCTTGAATGCAAAAGTTTTGAAACGAGAAGACATCTTTCTAAAAAAATGCGAAAATCTGTAATTTGCGGTAAAAGCAACAGTGTTCTAAGATGTTTCTCTAAGCTGAAGGTGTTTACCTTTCACCAGCTAATATTCGGGCCATATTTCCATTATTATTGGCCACAAAGACATCACTTCCTGAACAGACAATGTAGTCAATAGCAGCCATTCGCGACGAGTACTTCAAAAAAGGTTGTAGCTCCTTCTGGTTTGATATTGTGTCTTTGGTGTAATAATTAGGAAACATGGCTTTCAATGGTGCCAATGAAGCCTCCCCGTTGTAAACTTCACCAGACGCCACGTATAAATACGAATCGTTGCCATAGCCAAGTGCGCGTAGCATAAGACCAACTTCTTCGGGGGTCAAAGGGCACTTTCCATTGCGTCTTTCTCGCTCGGGATCGTGATACTAAGCATTCAATATAGCACAAAACCGTCATGAATTTCTAGAGTAAACTATTGGTGACACAAAGCAAGTTGTCCTAGATCAGATAAGATATGCTCACTCGATTCGTATTTGGATAAATACTATCCAAATCAGATAATTATGCAAGATGACTTAGTAACTAGTTGCTACAAACCAGCAAAAAATGCCGCTTTTTGCACCCTGAATGAGATGACAATCAATAACTGAGCTGTAAGATTATCTTATGTTCGATGACGTGAATGAGCACAAATAGCTCACATGCAATCTTAGAACTGACGGTTAGTATGTCAATAAGCTAAGTCATCAATTGTAACGTAATCGACTTGATCGTGCTATTAATAATAAATAACCAGTGAAAACCCAGTCCTAACTTATGGATTTTAGATTATAGACGATCGAACACATTAATTGAGTTTGGATGAATGCATTACATGCAGCGTCTTCCACCGTTTGCGAATAGCGCCCAATTCCCTTTTCTCTTTCTCACCGCCACCGTAATAGCAGCCCGAAAATGCCAACATATCAGATTCATATCTGCACAGTACCATGTCAAGTTGTGGTGATACCGAATTTGTTATGAAAAAAGAATTCGTGAAGTAAAAAGAGTTATATCTTGCCAAAATTTGATCTGTCCAACAAATCATCAAAGATCAGGCAGCCTCCAATGCTAAAGATAATACAATAGGTGTCATTGCCATATTGCAGTACGAAATTACAAGGCGTCATGATTCTCAAGTTATTTAAAATAGACGAGCGCAGTCCAAACCTTAGATGCAATGCAATGTATCGCCCACCCTTAGCTCTCATCCGATCTGCAATGGTTTGTCCCATATTTTGAATAGGTTGGGTAAAACGCAGTGCCTGCAGAAATATCACAAAGAGGACATCGGTCTTGTAAGGCAAGTGCAGTATGGTAACCAATATTTTAGGTCAACACTTAGAATTGGCTCCATATGATACTATATTCAATAATGTAAGAAAATTGATTGCATCATTATGAAGAATCTACGGCCATGAAAAATGAACAAGTACATAACAAGAGAGTATCTATCTCAGTAAAACTCATGTCATGCTTAGACAGGAACAGATGATGTTTGAGCATTCAACGTGACAACATGGAAAATTCACATGAGATAGTTGTGGTTGTAGCAAGAAGAGAAACCTTATAATTTGTGCGGCATCTCAGCTTCTGAAAATCTGCATCCAACCTGTTGGCAAGTCGGTAGTCGAATTTGGTAAGCCTGATAAACTGCCACAGAATTTTACAAAAGTAAAAGGTAATCGCGTCACATTTCGTAGTCTCAAAATGAATAAAAGATCATGTTAAGAGCCACAAAACTGTGATAAATGTTTAGAGGTGTTTGAGCTAAACAGCATCCACTCATCAATACATCCAATCTCTTGTATTCTTCATCAGGGGACAAGATTGACAATCTATACATGTTGAAAGTCAAGATCACTAGGAGTAGGTAAACGAAGAATCTGCTTATGTGCAATGAACCAGAACAATACAACAGGAAGCCTAAGATTGCGCTTACATGTCTCCTTTTCAAATTGGGCAGAATGCGTGTAAGATAATAGTGCGGTGGAACCTTTCGTGGGACACGCTGACTGTACAACTGCTTTAAGAGATACTTCCTATCACTTTGAGGCAGTTCCTTGATCACTTTCACGTCAGGAGATACGGATTTAATAAACCAGTCCACATCAAAAATGTCACTAAAATTGCTGCTCCCCACAACCCATACCAACACATGAACACCACTTCGAGCATCAGAAAATACAGAATCCATGATTACGATCACCAATTCGAAGTTGACGCTTACAGATTTTAAAATAGCAGACTGAGATCATGACAACGTCAACAGTTTTATAACCATATGAAAAGTAATTACATATGTCTCCTGTTACGGCCCAGACTGGACCTCAATCAATATATAAAAGGAATAAATGAAAAATCCTTGACTACAAAGTGTAGATATGACGAAGAACAAAAAAAAGACAAAGGGATAACCTGTTGTCTTTCCAGTATGATCGATGGTCAAGTTGTGGAACAACTAGGGTTGCATTCAATAGTCGAGCAACAACAATAGAATCAGTTATCTGCAGCGGAAGTCAACTAAAATTCCTTTAATACGAATATAATAAGGGGAAAAAAAAAACCAAATTAGTGCACAAAGAACACAGGACTTCAGAGTGTATTTCTAAGAATCCATAATTCTCCTCGAAACTAATGGCAATGTACGAAAAATCCCTTAATGTAAATCATCTCGAATACAATATGAGTCAAAATAGCCCCTAAAACATTATTCATCAAATCCATACAATGTAAGCAAGAATGTAAGATCATAGAGCACAGGTCATTACTTCCACAAGCAGAGTACCAAAGTAAATACAGCCAACATATCATGGATAACTGGATATGCAACAGCGTACCCCTGTTCTTTGCTGATTTAGGCCACCACTAGCTGCAATCAGAAGATACCCGTTGATCTGTGAACTAGGACCAACTACAGTTCAAAACAAGGCATTAGCATGAAGATCGTAGCATGATGTTACAGAGCAACATGTGAGTGGACAAAGATTTCACCCAAGTGAACAGCAGTAGTGAATACAGAACAACAATTGTCACTTCTACTTGTTCAGTACCTTGCACATTTTAAGAGGTATCAAAGCCAAGACCTTACCAACAACAAAGCAAACAGTTGATCAAAGCAGTGATTTCTTTGATGTTAAACGTAGGACAAAATAATTTAACTTCACAATCGGAGTATGTTGGGTGCGCTCTGTTCGGAACAGTAAACTCCATATTGAGTAAAAGGAGGAAGAAGCCACCTACTTTGGTAATCTTTCGAGGGCTCACTGCACCCATAGTAGTACTCAGAGTTCTCTGCATCCCAAATGTGTTGAGCAGTTGCATCCCACTGGTCCTAAAATCAGATATTCAAACGATCAATCTTACCATTAGCTTGCAAGATTTACATAGCTTCATGTTAACCAGGTGAAGGAAAAGTAATATACAACTCAGTTGTTGACACTCCACAATGCGAGCGATAATCATAAAGACATACAAATTGCTTACTTTCAAATTACTTATTTTAAGGCGACCTTTGCACTCGAGAAACGTGATTCCAAATTGATAACAGAAAAATATTTGATGCAGATGTGCATATACAAAGATAAATACCACAAACTAGCACAAAGCTTTTCAAGGGTTCAGATCGAAAAGGGAAACTTACTGGCACATTCCAAGAGCTTGTCAACAAAGCTCTGGTTACATTTTCTTCTTCGATGGTCTACGGCAACACACAGGTTAAGTCAATACATCAGAGCATCTAAGGAGAAAGAGAAAGACTGTCAAATTTTTAAAGCTTAGGCATCACCAATATCCAGGGTCCGATCATCCTTACAGATCCTACCTCAATTTGGGAGTGGTGCTACAATAACACAAAGACAGCATTGCATACACAGAGCGCAAAAGCATAAGGAAATTAACGATTGCTTGAGGCATATCACCATCTGTTATCCTTACTCACACGAGGCAGTCACAGATGGTTCAATCAGCATTTTAAAAAGAATTTCTGCGACAAATGATACTACACAAACTAATCATGTAGCAGAAGCACATGTACCACAAAGTCTTCATCGCGAAACGGGTCATTTGCATCTGGTCGAGATTCTGGGTAATCTTTTGAATTCTGCATGTCAAGCAAACGGCCCGAAAGCAAAGACAAGACCGCCAGCACGATGAGAGCACCAAAGCACACTAAAGAAAGAGTGGGGATTCCTGGGCAAACTGGTTGCCTCGACCTGCCTCTGGCTCGCCCCATAGTGGAGTCCCGTGCTCCAAGCTCTTGTCACATGCATGGAAAAGCCCCACCAGGTACAACGGATCTCCAACAAATTACCGAGTAAAATAAGTATTATACGATATCACCCCTTGGGAGTATGCCATGAAGCATTTCCAGCAGCCTATGAATAGCAAGTATAAAGATGTCCATTGCATTGAGCTAGTAACCGCTCTCTCTCTCTCTCTCATCTGCAGAGCATTGAATAAATCAGCGTATTGTTTGTTAATGAAAGCTGGTCCACAGTAATCCATTGGCAGACCAACAATGCGGATTCTCGCAGTGGTTTGGTTACTTGACGTGTTGAATTTACTCCCACCCACTGAGATCCACGCAATCTTAGGGACTACATTACACACAACCTTACGCACTCTGCTAGACTTATCAATTATGAATGCAGTCTAGAAATCCACAATGTTTAAACAAATTGAAGAGAGCATCCTGTCCACAACCCTATGTGGTGATTAGATACTCCAATCTGCTTACAGACAATTCAAGCTTTCGCCCATCCCCATTATTTCATAAGTTGTAAAAACGCTTGCATACCCACAACACATGTCGGAAGCGGAACTTACTCGATCGTCAGGCTCCAGCGCCTCGCAACAGAGTCGGCTGACATAACCCCATCCCTCTTCGCCTCCAAATTTTACGGATATGCCAACAGATCAAATGCTGACGAATCTCATCCTCATCCTAGCGAATGACCTAAAAGACGATCACAACAAAAAAATTCATTGTCCAATTTAATTCATGCTGTCGAACACACACCCAATAGAACAATAGTACAAGCATCGCCAATCGCAAGCTGAAAACACCCAGTTGATAGAGTATAACATACCCGCTGCATCTACAACTACTGCCGCCGATCTACCCCCTGATGTATCGGACGCTGTAGCGCACAAAAAGCTACGATTCGCTAAAATGACAATGGACAGCAGCAAAATCCTCTCTCGCCACCCCGCGTAAGTGCATCGATGTCGGATCCCGTGCTGTGGAGATGAAGACAGAATGACCCACCTATCTTGGATGAATCTACATGCGGCTAGGTATTCATACGTAATGAATATTCGAAGTATTCTACTCTCAGTTTCACAAAACACAAACAAACAGAAAATGCAGTCTGAATCACGGGGTAGGAACTGCAATAATCTTTGGAGAATAGAAGCTACTTAAACCTCGCTTGGGAAGGTTTTGTAGATTTTTAACACCCCTTGTTGAGACCTAAATATTCAATGGTTGGGATCAGGAAAGCTCTTGTCACTTGACCTTGAATTCGCAGTCTCAAGCTGGTACGCATCGTTTGAAGTTATGGGTGTGTTCAGGGTGTTTGTTGACATTGTGTGGGGAAAATTTGAAAAAGATGGTTCTACTTAGCAAAACAAATTGGGGATGTGTCTTGCGACTGATCGCCGCCGAGTCTTGTCGTCCATTCTGCTGCGACATGTCGCATTGTCAACAGGCTAAAGGTGCAACCGAGTTTTGGGGTAAGGAACTATATGCTCTGGAGGAGCGTAGTATTCTTCCCTCTAGTTTTGTTTGTGGGCTACTGTTATTTCCACCTCGTGAAAAATTGGGTGCGAGAGAAGTGAATTACCGTCACTTACCCGAAAGAGTGCCTTTCAACATGTTGGTTAGTATAGATTTCTCCCATCAGCTAGGTTGTGGTGGGCCCTTGGAATTGCTAGTTTCGCTTGGAACGCCTGATTTGTGGATTTTAGACCTGGAGATATTTTCAGCGCTACAACCTTTCGGGGTTGAATTATAACTCGCGACTTTTTCACCTGAAATTGTACTTCTCTTTGTTACGCATCTGTGCTCATTATCCTCTATGAAGTTGTAGCCACTTGAAGACTCTGCGGTGAGCATGATGCGTTCTGGTGGGTGTTGTTCGCTGCAGCTTACATGTGGCTGCTTTAGTTCCCTCTATAAATCTCTCAAGCTAGATGTACGTTGGTCATGCTACACTCCCACATGTTAAACAAATCTATTCTACTCTTATGAAGGTTACCGTATTCACAGTTGTGTGTTTTCTAGTTGGAGTTGAAACATGACCTCACTCACGTGATTTAACAAAACTGCTTCAGTGATTCTGTAATCTTTACAGTGTTAAGATACACACCCACTTCGCTTCAGATTGAACTTGGTAAGCATTACAGCCTTTAGTACTCATTCTCTGTATAAAATTGGTGTTTCTGTGATTGCTTTTTTGCTAGTACAATTTTTTTTGTCTTTTTACGCTCCTTTTCAATAGTTCTTTCACATCCTTTCCATCTTATTTGTGTTATAATAAATAGTAGTGGTATCTGATGTCTATTGCATCCTCGTAAAAAAGATGTGGTGGTTGTGTAACAAAATGTCTACATCTTGCAGGACGGAGCTCAGAGAATGAAAATGATGCTGATTTTTCTTTGTTGAAATGCCTGGAGGATGTGGATGAGCAAACTCACTTGGTTAGTGTCCTGCACTACACGCTCAATGAAGTATTCAAATAAACATGACTGAAGTAATAAAGTTGATTTCTTACTGTGTAATAAAGCATTTGAGATATGAAGCTATGTACAAATATGGGTCCATTTATAAATTGTATGTTTAAGAAATATCAGGCAATGCTTAACATTATGTAGTTGGCATTAACTGATGTCAACTTGTCACATGCTCACGTGAATCTTCTAATGCTCACTGCTGATTTTTAAAATAAGACATATTTTTCATATCATGTGCAGACTCACTTTTATAAAGCATCCTAGAAATTTAATTTAAAAATACATATATATTTGTGTATTTAATAATAGTAATGCCTCCTTGAAATTTTTAGTTATTTATTACCAAGAATGCAAAAAACATCCTAAATGCAATAATTGTCATCATTGATGGATGCTTGTGACATAGATTTTATCAAATATGGCAAAAATGCTCAAATAAATTGATACCATATTAATGAAAATAAATGCATTTTGAATATTATTTTGAACTAAAAGTGAAAAATAAATATTTAAATTTTAAATATATATATATATATATATATATATGCATGGTTTTGAAACAAAAATATATTATTAATATTTTTGTAGAGATTCTAAAAATTCTTATTAGAACATGTTTATGTTTATAAAATAATAAACTATTGTTTCAATTACTAACATAATAAAATAGACATGTTAGTAAAAAAATATATATATATTGATATGAAATTCTTAAAAATTAAATCTAATGTAGACTATTTCAAAGTTAATAACTTATTTAAAATATGTTATATATACAATGATTCAAAAAATTATTTCAATGTTGACATATTTTAGGAAGAATAGTGTATTATAGATGAATTGTAGTGAATAATGATATGTAGTTTATATAACTAATAAAGTACTTTTTTATAGCTACAAAATGAGTTAGATTGAAAAGAATCCATTAAGTAATTGTGGAGCTATGACCAATCTAATTTGGAGTAGTATTGAAACAATTTTTTGAATATGGTGTCTAATTTTTGGATTCTATCAGTTACTCAACATTATTGCATTCTATCATCATCAGATTTATTATGACAATATTATTACTAATCTAATGACATTATTCATGCTTACTAGTAGTTAAAAAAGCACCATTCTTAATTACAATTCTTGACACAGACATATTTTAAATTACCATATTCTAAGACCTTCTAGAATCTTTTGTAAATTTCTAGAACCTTCTAGATACTTATAGAATCTCCCACAATCTTTTAGAAAGTTCCATAAGCTTCTATAAGCCTCTTTAGACTTCTAGAAACTTCCATAAAAAGTACTATAGACTTTTATAATCTTTATTTTAGTATAAATAGGAGTCTTTGGAATCTTTTTTGCTATCAATCTCATTCTTTGTTTTTAATCTTGACATATTTCTTTGTCAGATTCTTGTATCCTTGACAATTCCTTGAATAACTATGAGATCCATTCTCCGCTCTCTCTACGACAACATCACCTTTGCTCTTCTTCATTTTCAAAAATCTTATAGCCAAATCACTTCTAAACTTGGCTACAATAAAGCTACTATCTTTAGGCTAGAAAAAAGATCACTTTTAATAGATAGAACCTTAAATTAGGCAAACTAAAGAAGTTCATTGTAGTAGATGAAAGAAAAATCATTTGCCAAATTAACAGTGGGAAGATTGAAAATACTATTAACATTGTTAAAAATCTTAAAAATATTATAAATAATCTTGTGTCAATCCAAACCATTCAAAATGTTTTTTAGAAATGGAATATGAAAGTTGTGGTGAAGAAGAAAAAGTCACTATTATTTACCTGCCATCAAAAATAATGCTTGGATTTTTCTTTGAAGTACAAGGAATAGATTGTGGAGGATTAGAAGAGGGTTATTTGGTCACATGAGACAAAAATCAACACATTTGGATCAAGTGGCAGAAAGTGGGTGTGGAAACAAAAGGATTAGTTCTTGCTTGACAAGAAGATCCAAAAAACAATTATGCATGGGGATGAAAATATAATAGTATGGGATTGTATGGAATAGAATGGAATTGGAAAGATGGCAAAGGTTGAAGGGAGGATTGATCATATAGGATTGGTCATAGCTTCACAATTACCTGATAGATTCTTTTCAACCTAGGCTCATTTGGTAGCTGTAAAAGAGCACTTTATTTGCTATACAAACCACATGTCATTATTTACTACAATTCATCTATAATACACCATTCTTTCCAAAATATGTCAATGTTGAAATAATTTTTTGAGTCATTGTATATATATATAATATATAACATAGATTTTTATAATATATATATATATATATATATATATATCATTGATTTGTGTATTTTATATAAAATCAAATATTCAAATTTTATAATAGCTTAAATTGTAAATTATTTGTTCTTTATTTTTCAATCATATATTTTAAATATACATAGAAATTTTGTCATTTTTTCTAATTTTATATATTTAAATTTTTAATTATTAATTTATTTTTACATCTTATAAAATTTATAAATATGATTAATGCCATTATTGCTTTTGATAAGACTTGATATATAATTTTATTTATTTTTAAATTTCTTGAATTAATATAAATTTATTATATAATATAATTATAATTAGAAAAGTTACCCCTCTATAAATAATTATATATATATAAGTCTATAGATTTATTAAATAAATTTAAAACCATCTTCATACTTAGTAATAGAAAAAGATACTTGTTTTATTAATATTAGTAGATTTTAATAAAGATTTAAAATATTTTAATTTAACCATAATTATCTAATTAACTTACAACCACATGGAAATTATTAGTACTTAATATTAAAGACTTGCTACACTATTTCATTGCTTTTTTTATATTCCATTTCAATGTACAATTAAAAAAATAAATAAATAAATAAATATAAAAATTTTAAAATATATTACTTTCCCATAATATTGAAGACTTTTGACAAACTTCTTTTATTGGGAGGTTTCAAACATGGCCTTTTTGGGCGATATTTTACCTGTGATGCAAGCTCGAAGTATCCGATGATATTTCAAAATATCAAAATATATGTGAGTCAAATATCAAAAACTGAGTTGCTCACCTCAGCTCTCTTCACTCCACATCAAGGGTAAATAAAGTTTAAATCAAAGAGTAGAATCAAAGAGTAATAAAATTTGACTGGTAATATTTTGGACTTGATATTTCAGGTGATCCTGAAACTATCAGATGCTGAATCCCAATTATTGGTATTGCAAAAGTACCATGTTTGAACCCCCCCCCCCCTCCCCTTTTCTTTTTTTAATCCTAAGTCAATAAACATAAATAGAAAAATCAAAGAATCAAAGGCAAAGCTACATTTCTAACTCTACAATTCATATTATATCATTTCCATGCTTAACCTACATCTAGCTACAAAGAAATGTGTTGCTTAATCTTGGGCAATTTTTTCTAATAAGTCATCAAAACACAACCAAGTAAGAAGCTTGTGTTGTAACATTGGAAGTAACATGGCCAGGACATTGGATGATTATTTGTAGCATCATCTGCAGATTGTATATACAACCTAATTCCAAAGACAAAAAATGCTTCAGTAAGATGAATTATGGTCCTAAAACAATAAAACCTTATCAACTGAAGTTTGCAATTGTTGTAATTCAGATGTATTTATTCACAAGTAGTGCCAGTGATATCGGATCAGAGATCGAGCGTACCATTTTATGTAATAATTCCTGAACTATTTCAATTGGCCATTTATCGATGGCATGAACGAAAGATTTTGTCGCTGGATTGTCGAGCAACTGCTAGTGGTATTCCTATTTTCCAATCCCGGATTGAGGATTATATTTTTATATCTTACCAGCAGTGGGCCGAGGCAAATTCTGAACCAGGTTTTCTGGAGGACATGTAATTTGCCAACACTGGTCCAATCTGCCAAACAGCTCTCATACGGATCAGAATCTGCTCCCTAAACTGCTCATGTTGCCACAGGGTCTTGGACACCACACACCATGTTGGAAGGTAATGCCACATCAATCATCTTCGGATAGGGCAATCCTAAGTCTGTGTCCACATCACTTGCTCAAAATCAGTTTCCAGGAACAGGTGCAAACAAAATTTGGTACCCTTCAATTATCATGAAAAAGGTGAACATGGAGTAGGCAGCCATGGGTAAAACCTCCTGAAGAAAAATGGATGGAGTTCAGGAACTTACTTTTCATTATCCGCTTGAACTCCTCCTGCAAACAGTGTCAAACACGACATTCAGTAGTTGTGTTGGACTTTCTCTATCCACTGCACCTCATTAGGATCCAGCAACTCACTTCCGGCAATGTCAGAGCCGAAATCTGTGTTACAGAAATCGCTGACAGCAAGCACAACTTATCGTCATCAAACAGGAACGTCCTTGGACTCACCTCATCTTTACTAAGTCGAGGATTGAGCTTGAGCTCCTCTCCAACAGTAGAAACCTATTGAGATGAAACATGTATTAGTAGACCAAGTAACACTCCAACACATAAATGGTATCCTTGCACATATCAAAGCATTGTCTCATTTCTTTCCTTACATGCAATCCAAATCCCAATAAAAATTCAGCTGTTAAGTCTAAGTGGGTACAGACTAAGAATATCTTAACCATATTCAAGTGATTGCATCTGTTACCAAACTACTATTTTCTCGTGATTTGAGCTGTCTGGAGGAAAAAGCTTACAGTGTGCCCTTTGTAATCGTGTGCAGGATAGACAAGCGTGTCCTTCGGCAAAGTAAAAATCTGCGGCCGCAAGCAGTTAATATCAAGCGTATTCTAGCATCCAATCATATAACTTTTTTGGCATGAAAAGACTACGAAATAGCATTAGAGATCAGAAATATCACTGAAAACGAAGTCTCATGCTACTGCGATGCGTCGTCACAAAGTATGGTTCGTGATGAGGCATCCTGGCGAAAGTAGCAGCACCTGCGAGTGCACCGAATTATACAGCTGGCTTGCATCCCCTCCCTGATACAAGTTTAATGATTCATGAGCACTAGAACTTTGCTAGAATACCTATTTTGTTGCATGTCCACAATGTTTCATACGTGCCTCATTCACCACTATCAATAGACATTAAGCAGGCTGAACTTGACGGTTTGCTGGGTCTCAGAAACTGTGAAGATAAAGTTAAGAAGCTGCAGCTTTTAAACCTATACTGCTTTGTTGGGATCACTGAAAACCAGCACTGAAACAGAAAGCAAACAAATCCAAACCTGAAAGTCTGTGCGGCCGCAGCCTCGAATAAGCAGAGCATCTCCTGTAAATACCATTCTTGGACTCGGTTGATCGGGACCCTCTCCTGTGACATACGTCACGCAGCCTTTTGTGTGCCCTGGAGTTGGTCTCACCTGCATCACACGCCAAGAAACATGCACGTCGAAGCCATAGTAAAAGAATGCTGGAACATATGATGACGAATGATCCTCCGAAGGTTCGAACTTCTGGGAAAAATAAATTAATGACGTACAGGTTTACACTCAAGTAATAGCTACCAGTGGATGCACGCTGGGAAACCCATCGAAAACTATGATAACGAATGTGAATTTTTTTACATAATACGTGAAAACGCATTCTTCTAAGTTCAAAATATTAACTTAAAATATTAGACTGGCAGAGGGGGATTCGAATATGGCACGCATACCTCGAGATACAGGTTACCGAAGTAAATTTTCTCCCCTGCATTTAGGTGCAAGTCAGCCTTGGCACCACTTGCTCTAGAAATAGCTGATCGAACTTCTGGAATCTTGTTCTGCGTCAATTACAACGAAGTCGCAATTTGTTGATATCCTTGACGGACTTGAAAAAATCCTTTTCAACACTAGACCTCATCGCAGTCTGTTTTGTCCACGCAGTTATATACACGTCAAGGCTGAGATGATGTGCTGACAAACCCTAAACCTGGCGGTAAAGTAGCATGGTGGCACAGTACATGCTACGCTCTCAACAACGAGATAAAGAGAAGAAATGCAATGAAAGAATCTGAGAAGTCGTTTCGCTGAAGCGGCGTACTTTGAGAATACCGGTGCCGGTGATATGATCTGCGTGCACATGAGTGTTCATAACATACAACAGCTTCAAACCCAACTGCTCCACGAGCGCGGCATCCCTCTCTGCGGTCTTGTCCACAGGGTCCACTAGCTGCACCCACAAGCTCTCAAATGTTAAAAGTCCACATATCTTCGAATTTTTTAACACCACTCGGGTTGAAAAAACTTAAGAGCCTTTTAAACTTATCGCGAAATCAGAAGCAATAGAAACATGCTGAGAAGTATGATGTTCGTGAATGGAATAATTCGTGGGGTAATCGAACCTACCACAGCAGGTCGATCCGGATGTGCATTATCCGCCAGCAAGTAAGTGTAAGTTGATGACTCTTTCTCAAACAGCTGCCGAAACAGCAAGGAAGGCTGAGCTTTCGGGGGCCTCGTCATACTAATGAAATATTGAACTCCTAACACTCGAAATGGAAGTGAACAGTGCACTTTCAAAACCACAGTATTAACATGCTGCGCTACCGCTAGCGCTTGCATGTAGATTGGATTTCTTGTGCACGTTTCCTGCTTTTCACGAAGTAGAGAAACAGGGTCAGATCATTGGTGCTCTACGACATATCTTCCGACCAAAGTGAACATGGGCCACCATCACAAAGATGCATGAACAGGCACAAATCTTATACGATCCTTCCGTGGGAGAATTCACAAACTTGATAGCAATGAAGAAACAAAATGGATTCTAAAAAAGAAAAAAATCGGAAAGAACAGGTTCCGTGTGAGATGAAAACTCATCAACTGACTAAAAAATAAACGCAAGAGAGAGTTACACTTCTTGCTCGCCCCAGTGGTATCTAATGGACGAAAAAACCCTGATACTCTCTCTACCTCGAAGGCGAACTACTTGGCAACACCATGACATAGAACACGTAAACTACACACGCCCTAACACCCACTCAATAGATATCCTAGACCCTTCCCAATTTTACTCTATGCAGAATGACGAGACTCGAGGTGCCTAGAAAAATCCGTCCAGAGGTGGAGGAGATGCAGGAATGGGTACATGCAGCATATGATAAAGAATTGCGCTAAAACGATCTCGAACATGGAGTCCAGAATGAAATCAAAACACTAGAGACCAATAAATGAACGATCAAGTAACCTATTTGAACCACAGGAGCGGACACAAAAAAAAAAAAAAAAAAAAATGGACCAAACTCTAGCATGACGCGTAAACCGAGAAGCATACGTAAAACTACTCCCGATCGAAACCGTACAAAGCACTGCCCAAGCAACTCCCCACATCACAAACCAGGGCAGAATTGTGGGCAGAAAATAGATATGAGCACTCACGAAAGGTCGAAAACGAGCTGTCGAGGAGCTGCTGCACATGAGTCGGCGCAACACCAAACCCACCTCTCCCCCACAGAAGAACAACAACAACAACAAAAAAACCTCTTCCCAAGGAACAGCAGCAGCAGAGTAGAGCAGCGCAGCGCAAAGACAAGGCGATGATGATTAGACAGGATGACCCATAAATGAATGAAGCCAAGCAAAGAAAAGAAAGGGAGAGGATCAGCTCCTCCTCGTCCTCATGCACGGAATGCTGACGGAGTTCTGACATGGAAAGCCAGGAACATGATGATGCAGGAACAACTCACTCAATCTCACTCACTCAATCTCACTCACAGACACAGTAGTGCTGCTGCACCATCCCAATTGCATCGTCCTCGACAAAATCCCCGAATTCATCCTCCTCCTCCTCAATGCAATGCTCTTTTCCAAGCCATAGCTCAGCAACCATACATATACATCCCTCCCTTCACTTCATTCCCTTCCCTCAATGGAAAACATGCAGTCAGATCTCTCTTTCCTTCTACCCCCCCCCCCCTGGCTGGTGATGGGTCCCACGGTCGGTGGGCATTGACGACCGTGGGGGGCAGATATATATAGAGATATACATATATGAAAAGGAAGGAGGGGGGGGAGGGGACCTGAGTAACATCCGTCCTCTCATGAGTACCCCACACTCTATCCTCCTCAACTCTTCCTGCAGGATGAATCACTGTGGTTGATTACTATGTCATGATGCATTTATTCATTCATTTGTTTATTTGTTTGTACACACATACATGGGTGAGTACTAATATTGGGGCCTATTGTTTTGGAAGTAACATGTTTCATCAAGTCATTAATTTGTAATAAAGGGAAATATTATGTTCATATATATATATATATATATATATATATACCAAAGGAAACAATAAGATGAATCATAGATGAAGTAAAGCAAAAGAATCAAGAGAGTGATTTGAGGAGCACACAAGGAATAATACTTAAGTGATATACCATTGCAAACTTGTAGAATATAAAAACATAGGTTGAAATCCTATATTTCCAAATTTCAACATGATAGTATGATGTGGACTTTTCATCTATGGATAAATGAGAATAAGATGATAAGCTATGATTATATTTCCATCACTCTTTTGTGCTATAAACCTTGCATTGAAGTAAGTGGCCAAAGTAGTATGTGAAATTATTCTAACATTAAGTTTTTGATAAATATTCGGATATCCCACATTTTTCTACTTTTGTCAATTTGAAAAGTTGGTTATGATGACATAGGTTGGCAAGGAGATGTTCTAGGTCAACATGTAATATTTGATCAAATGGAAAAGAAAGAAAGGATGAGACAATATGGATTAGATTTATACTACTTGGTCAATTTGAAAAGTGGCATTGCAACAACATAGGTTGACAAGAAGATTTTTTTGATTGAATATTATATTTTATCACTTTGTTGCATAGATGCAATAAAATATTCTTAGGTTTTTTTCATAGATAGTCACTTTGTCAAGTTCTAGTGATAAGTGGATTGGACTATTACTACAATTGAAATATTATTGGCTAAGAAGTATGATAATGAATGTTCTTAAGGTGGCACCATTTTGTAGATTGAATGCATTATCTTCTTGCAAGTATAAGTTACTTATACAAAAAAAATATCTTATATGCTATAATTATCTATATAAAAGGTGAGTTTCTTATATTTAAAATTTTGTTTACTCAAAAGTTTGTATTGCAATAGATTGTGTATATATAGAATTATACAAGGTTTATTTTGTCGTGATTCATTTTTTGTTAAATAGATAGTGTCTAGACTATTTTGAGTATTTCAATTTTGATTTGTTGTACTAAACATTATGATCTTAGTATTAAGAATAAAAAGTCAAATGAGATACATAAACAAATGACATATGTATACAAGAGATTAAAAAAAATTAAAATAAGAAAATATGTATATAAAAAGAACTAGATTAGCTATTGCCAAAGACTAAAAAACTTGAGACTCTAAAAACTAGATTAGAAAAAAGAAAAGAATTCACCAACATAAAAAAAGCTTTCCTCATTTTTCTAAACATACAATTTATCTTAGAGCTACATAGTCAAATTCTCTAAAACTTCTAATACTTATTCATTTTGAAAGACATGTGTTTTTACTTGCAAAACAACTTATTTATATACAAGACACATGGTTAGCTTGTACCACAAGCTATCAATATGTACAATACATCATTAACTCATTGCCCAATTGTTTGATCTATAAATATCACGGACATATACATATACACATATAAGTACTTATATGATTAGGTAGAAATAAGTAAATATAGATTAATTTCATAAAAGTCTTCTAGAGTGGCTTCTTAGAAGCTTCATAGATGTAATTTTGACTTTAGATGTATTTATAGGATACAAACTTGGCCAACAAGTTAACTACGTGTTGGTAGCTTGTGGAACAAGTTAACTCCATGTAATAGCTTGTCGAACAAGCTAAATATGTGGCACATACATAGATAACTTGCCTTGCAAGTTAAGACATGTGGCTAGCAAAGTCAACACATTTTGGAGGTTCTATAGGACATTGCCACATAGTTCCTAGTTAAGAGTATACATGGAAGCAAGAATGAAGCTTTCTTCACTCTTATCAATGCCTTTGTAGTCCTAAGTCTTATTTTTGGCAATACGCATTCAAGTCTAATATTACATCACCTTTTTGAGTGACTTTCTAGTTCTCTTTAATAATACACGATTATATTGAGATTTTTTTTTCTTCGAGATTCATATATTTGACAATTTGTCAAGAGTGCTAATATACTATTTCTATCGTGTTTTAGAAGTCAGTGGATCATCTCACTTCTATTGTTGTATTTTGAAGGTTCAAGACTACCCACCTTTAAAAAAAAATTATTTTTTATTTTCTAACATTGATCTATTCTTTAAAGAGGGTAGATTATCTTTCTTTGTGGAAATATTTATTAGAGGTTGCAGATTATCCTCCTCTAATTTAATTTTTTGAATTTGTTTGAGTTATCTATAGAAAAAAAGCTTATGGATACTACTCTTAATGGAAGTGAAAATAGATTTGTAATTATTATAGATCTTCATAAACTTGTTAACACTCTAACAGTAGAAATTTCATGTAATTGTAATGTGAATCATGGAAGTATTATGCCTACGCCTACAGAAGAAGTTCAGAGTCTGCAGTAAGAAGTTGTATAGTTAAGTAAAGCAAGTAGATCGACCTCACAACCAAATCCACAGAGTTTTGATTTTATAAGTATGACAGGGGCAAAGATTAATATACCTTAGAAATTCGATAGAATAAGATCAAAATTTTGAAGATTTTTGCAACAAATCAAGCTCTATCTAAGATTGCATCCTTTCCAATACCATGATGGATTTACTCAAGTTGGATTCATAGATGCACTTCTATCAGGAAGTGCTCTCTCATCATTTGTAACTTTAATGTGAAAAGATTTGCAATTCTTTTATGATTTGAATTCATTCTTAGAAATATTTATGGCCACATTTGGAGAAAGTGATCAAGAATGAGTAGCAGAGACTAAGTTCTTATCTTTACGACAAGGATTATAATCAACCACCATATATGTTATTGAATTCCAAAACCTTGGTTGTGATGTGGACTGGAATAACAAAGCACTTATCAATCAATTTTAATATGGATTGAAGAATAGTCTCAAAGATTTGTTATTAACAGTGCCAAAAGTAGAATCTTTAGAATAATTTATTGTTCAAGCCATTGCATGCTATAATTGATTATTTGAAAGGCATCAAGAATAAAGATTTGAGTGGAGAGAAACAAGTCAAGTAATCACGGCAATTCCCAAGTTTTCTAAAATGTATTCATTAAAGTTGGAACTAATGTAAATTCATATGATACGTTTTGAACTTCTCATAGAGCAAGAAAAGACTCGACATCACCAAGAGGGTTTGTATTTATATTGTGGAGAAGCTAAGCACACTGCCCATCATTGTCCAAAGAAGCAAGCAATTACAAAATGAAGAACACAATAACAAAAAAAGATAATGTATTGGAAAACAAGTTTTTCTAGCTACAATAGGCATCGTGCATCTAGAATCATGTACAACACTTAGTAAAGGTCCCATTTTCTCTTCAAATCCCCCACCTTATTTTACAATAGATGTATATTTAGGATCTAAAATCACAAAGTCTTTGCCTTATTAGATTTAAAAGCCTCGGCTTGTTTTATAGATGAAGATTTTGTCAAAAATAAAAAAATATCTTTAATCAAGAAAGTTAAATCCATACATGTAGAAGTCATATGTTGGTCATTCATTGTCTTCTAGAAGTGTTATCCATGAGACTGTTTCTTTAGATGTAGCAATTAAAGTTCATAATAGCATAGGAGTATTTAATGTAATAAGATCTCCCTCTAATCTAATTATTTTAGAATTATCATGACTAGAAAAATATAACCTTCAAATAGATTGGATTTCTCATAACTTTTCTTTTTTTGGTAGTATAATCAAAGATCGAGTTAGTGAAGTAGAAGTATAGAAGTCTAGTACATCCAAACCTTTATTGATAGGTGTGAAAGCTTTCATATAAGTTACAAAAAAAAGATCATCTTTTGCTATATATGCTATGTTTATTTCTAATGGTAAAAAATTTCAAGTGATATTCCTAACCAATATCAACAATTTGAAGACATTTTTGAAAAAAAAAATGTAGATATTCTTTCAAAGCATCAATCTTATGATTAATTAATTGATCTGCAAGGACGAGCTCAACCACCTTTCCAAAGAATCTATAGCTTATTGTAGAATGAATTTGCTACATTAAAGGAGTACATTGATGAGAACTTGGCAAAGACCTTCATACGTGATTCTAAATCTCTAGTCGAGGCTCCTATCTTATTTGTAAAGAAGAAAGATGGATCTCTATAGATGTATGTGGATTATTAAGGACTCAATAAGATCACCATCAAAAATAGGTATCTTTTGCCTTTGATTTCAAGACTTCTTGACCAACTCAATCAAGCAAAGACCTATACGAAAATAGATCTACAAAGAGCATACAACTTAGTTTGTATTAAAGAAGGAGATGAATAAAAGATTACCTTTTAAACTAGGTGTGGATATTTTGAATATGATGTCATGCCTTTTGGACTCACAAATGCACTGGCTACTTTTCAACATCTTGTGAATGATATTTTTTGTGAGTTTTTAAATGATTTTGTCATTTGCTATATAGATAACATTCTAATCTACTCTAAAAACATGAACTTTATATTTATTATATATTAAAAAAACTTAAAGATATAAGATTATATGCCAAGTTAGAAAAGTTTGTA